AAGACAATTAGTGATGGTTTTATGACATCCTGGCAGTTTCCCAACTGCCTAGGGGCCATCGATGGTAGACATATGAGGATTCAAGCACCCAGAAATTCAGGATCGAATTTCTTTAATTATAAACAGTTCTTCAGTATGGTTATGATGGCAACGTGTGATGCACAGTACAAGTTTACATGGGTGGATGTCGGACAGTTTGGTAAGTGTTATTCTTCATTGCATTTTCTGTAGCTATAGAATGATAATCGCTGTTCGGCGTATCGCCTTGTAAATAGCATAGTTACGTCATGTCCATGTATTCATGTATCGTTTATACTTAGTTGCATAAGTTGTTTGTAATTCTCGCGCGAAACGTCGGCGGATCGCGATCAGCCAAATCATGCGACTCACCTGTCGGTGCTGCCATCGCCCATCCGCCGACGGTATCCATCCCCCCGGAAAGGGAACAACTACGCCGCAGCGACATGTTCCAGGACCGCGGGGACAGAAGCATTAACAATTCAGCCGTCCTACGGCACACACATTTTTGGCCAGCCGTCTTACGGCATACAAGCATCGTCAAGTAGTCGGAGAGGACACACCTCTCAACAGAAGCATTCGCAAGTCAGCCGTCTTACGGCAAACACACGTTTTGGACAGCTGCCGTGCGGCACACACATATTCTAAGAGCCGTCTTACGGCACGCTTTCGCCGGGCAGAACGCGTCTCGAAATCGCCCTTGCCGCCTTGCTCAACCGGGAGTGCGCACGTCTCCAACTGCCTTTTCCTGCCTGCTCTATCGCTTGTTTTCCACCGTTTTGCTTGCTTGCACGAGTTTTGCCACCGCATGCCGAAAGAGACCCACGGAGCGGCCAAGTTCAAGGGACAGGACGAGGATTGACGGAATCACGGGGACGACGGCCGACACGGTGAGTCGCTTCGCTTAATATTTCGTTGCATGCGTTTCTGCTTTCGCGTTAAACATTTGATAGTCGTGAGGGGAAAGCGACAACCCCCCTCTGGTCCTTCGAATATCGCAAATCTTGCCTCCGGGGCGAAACTATCCCCGTACAATCGCCAAGTGGAAAGTTTGAGTTGTTTCCTTTTTTTTTAGGTTCCATAAGTGATGGCGGCGTATGGGCCAACACTGATTTTGCTGACGATTTAGCATCCGGAAATGTGTCTTTGCCTGATCCCAGCCCAATTCCAGGAAAAGAGAGACCCTTCCCATATGTGTTTGTGGGGGATGAAGCGTTCCCGCTCACAGAGTATATGATGCGACCGTACCCAAGGAAAACACTGACCGATGAAAATAGAATTTTCAATTACCGTTTGTCCCGAGCACGGCGGGTAATTGAGAACACTTTCGGAATTTTGACTGCACGATGGAAGATCCTACATAGACCACTTGCCATGTCGCCTACCAACTGTGAAAATATCTTCAAGGTTCTTCCCTGTCTTCATAAATTAATTATGATGGGTGAAAAAGGAAAAAATTGAAATGATAGACAGTACTGCCC